CACCTCACCAATCCTGCCCCCCTTACGAAGCCAACCACATCACTCCCTACTAGTGCCATGTTCCTGTTACACCATGTTCCACACCGAGCTCATGGGACCCTGGCCTCCGGCCAGTCAGACCTGGCCAGTCGCTTCTCGGTCGCTCCCTGAGCTCCCATGCCCATGCATCGAGCGTAGGTTCACCTCCCAGTCCGGCTCGGAACACGTTTTTTCCAGGCGGAGAAGGTCCCACTGTCCATTGGTGGAAGAAAAGAGCTTGGAAACATTCTGGGGAAGTGAACTTTCACAGTCAAATTGCTACTAATCATTTGGGGTGCCTGGTGGATTCACATTGAAGATGACCAGCTTTGTGAACCTACGTACTAGTCAGAGTGGAGCTGATGCCAACGAGTGCGAGACGCTTCCCTTCATTCACATCAGGGAAGAAAAAAAGAAGACCAGTCCGACTTCTTGCATCCATTTCTGGCCTCACCGTTCTGTCGCAGGTGATAATAGAGGAGCCCATCGCCCTGACCTTGGGCCCACATGGAGTGAAAAGGGCGCAAGCCTTAAACAAGCACCAGAAGAGTTGTCTAAGCCTCCCCGCGAAGCTTCAAGGGAGCCTGCGAGAGCGAGAGCGAGCAAGAGAGAGAGAGAGAGAGAAAGAGAGAGAGAGAGAGAGCGTGTGAGCTGCAACATCTGGAAACCCAGAAACCCGCAAATTTGCATTCAGTCACAGTAGTATGTCTCTAATCGTCGCTTGGCATGGCAATAAGATTTTGCTAATCTAGCAACTTTTTGTTGGCACTTTGGTTTGCTTTTGGGGGGTTGCATCAATCGACCGCATGTTTTTCAAGATTGGCCGTTCCTAGTGGAAGCCCACAAGAACACAACATAAGATTAGTTTTGAAAGAAAGAACAAAGCCGTGTTGGTCCATAAGTCTCAAAACACATGGGAGAAAGGGAGGCTCTCCTGATTCTATCACCTTCAGGAAATCCACCCGCCCTAAGCCCACCGTATGGCCCGGTCACCAAGTAGAGCGCCCCTCAAGGCCCGGGCATCGCGGCAGACCTCCTGGAAGGCTTCATCCAAGTAGCCTGAAAGTGCATGAGACCAATGTTTGGGAGGGAAGGACCCATTTCAACCATGCAAATCGGACCGTCTTTAGTGGTGTTACCACAGTATCTACAGTAGGGCCACTGGAAAAAAACAGGAGTCTCTCAAAACAGGAAAATCGACGGTTCTCGATTACGAACAAGACCAAGTCGGAGAGAGAGTCTCCGCGGGGAAAATCACCTCGCTCACCAGCGGGTCAATCAGACATTCTGAAGCATGGCACCACCCCCAAGAGGGGAATCAAAAAAAACAAGTGCTCCAATCCCAAAAAAACTGGGGTGGAATCCGTGTGGTGCAGATTTTTGGGGATGGAACATCTGGCCAAGTGAGTTTCCTTCATTTGTTCGTTCAGTTTCCAGCCTTCTAGATCAGTTCCAGATAGGATCAAGGAGCAAAAGGCCGGTACATATGCCAAGCGGGTTGTTTCGCTTGCTTCAGGCGCTGTGATCTGGACGGATCCAATCCCTCCACCCGTCGGATGCGCATCCGACCATGGCCCCCCGACCATGGCTTTTGAAGCTCCTTCCTTGTCCATTGCCTCGCCATGGCAAAGTGTTGCCCTGGAGAAGGGATCGGCTGGTCGAAGGGAACGAAAGGAGACGAGACTGGAGACAAAGCTCCGGTCTTGTTGAGAGAAAAAGATCCTCTGTACACTTGATGTTCCCCTGCTGAGTGTAGAAGGTCACACGAGAAGAGTAGCAGGGGGGCAGAGTTGAGCCGTCATCCAGCCCTGGATCCCAAGTTGTTTGAAGCAGAAAAACAAAACGAACCTCTGATATAAGTGACAGTCACATTGAAAGTGAACTCTTGATGGGGTCACGCAAATCACTCGATGCATCCAAAGTGTGTCCAGTTCTTTCACCACCTCCTCATTCAGCTTTGCCACCAGCTCATCATCCTGGCCAGCCACCGGGGTGGAAACCCATTCGTTCAGAGGGTAAGCTTTGCCATCCACGGCTGCTCGGAGCTTGTCAGCTGTGTGCATTGTAGAGAATGTGTATCATCTGAGTCGCCGTGGGGCAAAAAATTAAAACAACAAGACCTAAAGAATCGAAACCAAGGAAAACCTGTTCCAAGTCGTCCCGCAATCCCAAAGGATGCGTCCTGCCGTCCTGTCCTGTCTGTCGTCCAACCTATCTGAACCCGGTCGTTGTTCGCCACCTGGGCGAGCTCGTGCATCCCGGGCCTCAGAAGCGAATCCAGGTCCCGACTCGAAGAGGGAGGAGGTCCGGACCCCCATGGAGGGCGGAGTACAGTCATAGTCATCATGTTTTGCCATGGTCCGGACCCCTGCCATGGTCGGCAAAACATGATGTGGTTTCTTTTTTCCCCATATCTTTGGATTGACCAAATCGTGACTTCAAATGCCCTTCTGTGGGGCCGATCCGATGACACGATGACACTCGGATTGGTTGGATGAAAAGGGGATCAGTGCTGATCCGGTCAGCCCCTATGGTTTTGCATGTTTGGAAGGCAGCACTTTGAGCCATTATCCGTAGATGTTGCCAGATTCTATTTTGCAGTTCAGCTGTACTAAATCCGCTGCTGAACACAACCTTTATTGTGGAGCTGTGAGGACTCCACAGAATCTTTTTGACATGCTGCCGGCTAAGATGAAATCAAGTACTCTTCTGCCGCATAATACATTCCAAAGAAATAACACTTCGTAGCTCCTTTCCCCCCGCTAAACGGACAACCAGCTTCTTAGCTCACTCCAAACGGCCAGCCAGTGCCTATCCAATGTCAAAGAGACAATCTTCATTTCCCAGTAAGCTGCTTGTTCCAAGATTGTCCAAAGTAAGGAGAAATCCTCCAATGCTAAGGAGCAAGCAAGCCTAACTTTAAAAGGCTGTCTGATTGCTTGAAAGAAAGACCTCTTTCCACCATGTTTCACCCTAAAGTTCTCCCAAAACATCCCGATCCTCAAGCCGTCATCATGTTTGATCACCCTCCTCATCCTCCCCATTCCGCGCGCGTGCCAGGAAGAAAACCTCCCGGTGACTTCTCTTCGGGCTGGGCACCCCCCACCAGGTGGCTAAGGGAAAGCCGATGCCGACAGGGTCGTCCCTCAAGCGCACGATGACCTGGCGTAGCACCGAGGGTGGGAGCACAAGCACCCGCCGACAGAGGATCCGAATGGACAAACACCCCGTGGGTTGTGGGTGTCAAGAGCGGAGGTTGGTGCTGGAGAGATGTGGGAGTGCCGCGGCTTGTGTTTTGTTTGGGTGCTTCAGGGGCTGGATAAACTAAAAGGCTAGGTGGACGTAGCCTTTAGAGCCACTGGTTTCTATTGAGATATATATAAACATTGTGACATTGGGCAACCTCTATGCTCTAGGAGACCACCTTTTCCAGATTGCTTCTCCATGAGCTGAAAGGCCCCGGTGGTCGCTGTGACTGGCTCTCTGCAGGGAGCTCATTGCTGTGGGTGTGACGAATGCAAGTACATCACCAGAAGCTCTCTCTGAATCTACTTTCGTACCACCTCCTCCTGGCTCCCTTCTTCTCGTGAACCCGAGGCTCTCCCTCCTCCTTTTCCGCCGCCTCACCCACCGTCCAACCGTAGGACGGGTCCCGCCGATGGGCCCGGATGGACGGGACGGGACGAGTCTGAGACTCCAGCGGGTGTATTCAAAGAGAAAGACCCGGCTGGCAGCCAGTCTACTGTGATTACAGTATATAGTCTATAGTTTTTCTCCCTACTTGAAGACAGCAAGATCACTTTCTTGAGTCCACGGGGATCCATTAAAAACAACAGGACGGGCGGAGAGTCAACTCCGCCCCATCTCAAAGGAACCCCAAACCCATGGATAATGGGGTTATCTGATTTTGAGTCAAAGCCATGTAGCCATGTAGCTGGAAGGCCAAAAAACATCCACCTGCATTGGATTCTGCCGCTTCATTGCATGATCAGAATTCGCGGCGCTTAATGGACAAAATCCTGTGCTATAGATCAATGTGAAGCAAAACTCCCTGCAAATTGCCAAATAATGCCAATAGAGACTGGATCCCTCTCCAGGCTTCCTTGGTGGTGTTTGGGTCTCTGGTCCATTCACCATCCGCTCAGTCCTTCTGATGTCCTACTCCACCGCCAAGCGGCCGTAGCCACACGCTTAGGGAACTGGAAGTGATGGAAGTTGTCCAGGTGTAAAGCTTGTCCTCACCCCACGGAGAAACGGAGAAACATTCGACGGAGACGGTAACGACAGACGTGGTTCTCCGTGGGTTTCTTTCGGATCCCATGGCGAAATTACAGTTTTGTTCTCGAGTGATGCAGGGGCATGGCATGTCCTTGAACATGTCCATGAACAACTACTAGTAACAAGAAGCTTCTAGTAGCAAGGTGCATCGCTACTAGTAGCAAAGGGCATCGCTACTAAGAGCAAGCACGCTCTCCTTGAACAATCCGCAACATGTCCTTGAAGACTTCACAACATCCTGCCACACGACTTGCGTCGGACTCCCCGGACTTGCGGACTCCGCTCCTCGACGCGTTCGGTCCCAGTTGAAGAGCCAAGCTTCTTCGATGTGATCCTGAAGGAACTTGGGCTGATGCATATGGCTGATGGATCTTGACCTTCCTGGTGTCCGCACTGGAGTCTGAGTATCGCTTCCTGGCTACCTCCACCTGTGGCTGGGTCAATACTAAGCAGACCTAATCTCTTCATTAGTTCGGCTTGATCCTTTCTTCCAAAAGATGTTGGGTGCTGATTCCAGCCCCAAACGCTGGAAGCTGAGTCGACGGGTGCACCCTCCGTGGACCTTCTTCACTCCCCCCACCGGACTCACCTTTTTCGGCTTCCGGGTGACGCGACCCGGGTGACGCTCAAGCGCACGGGCACCAAACGGGCGGCGCTCAGGAGGCGCTCTCGGAGCGACGGAGCGCCGCATAGGCGGAGCTCAATCAACTCGACGGGAAGAGCGTCTGCAAGGCTGGTTCCTGAGGGAGGAGGGTGATGGCTTCAGGTGACCGGAAAAAGAAAGGCTATGGCAAACATCGGTTCAGTTGAGGCCTGGTTGCAAGTCACTGAATTCTGGTTGTAAATGATGTCTTCAAAATGTTTGCATGTCAAACAAGCCGAATACCAATAGGTCAGTGTCACCTAAATCTTCGTAGGAGCAATAGGTCTCCGTTCATTGCCCATTGCTAGATGGAAATGTCCCGTGTGAATTGGACCAAGGAACACATCTCGATACCGTCACCGAATCCGTGGGACCTTCGAATCGGTGGATCTTCGACCCATCGAGTGCCTGCATCTTCAAGGCGTCCAGCGGTGGGCAATCGGGCAGAGGTTCGTCGACTTGCAGGAAGTGCAACTGCTGAATATCAGTGTCATTCTCCTTGGGCATCAGAGACGGCTGGTCTTTGTATGTCTTTGTTATGGGAAAAAATTGTGAAAGACCCCCAGTGGTTCTAATTTATTACTGTAGGGAGAACGCCTTCAATGCTCGAGAATGGCGACGCTAGACCGCAGAACAAAATAGGTTTGGTTCGCATGAATTGACCATCTGCTTCAAGGAGATATGAAGATTGCTGTATCATTATCAGTTATCATGTTGAAGAGTGGTACAATTTGCCGCGGCACTCTCGTGCATTCAAACCCAAGTTGGGATGATCCAGCATTACCTTGCACCTCACAAGGCATTGGGGTTCGTGTGAAGTCATAATTCTCCAGCTTGAATTGTTGTCACCTAGGCATTTGTCACCATTGAAGTCAGGCTTCCTCCCGCCGCGACTGGGAGGTCGTAAGTGACTACACCTGTCTGACAGCCCGAGACCGTTTTTCATGCCGACCCCCTTTCACCGGCCGGGAGGTTGGGCCCACAAATCGCACTAGGAAGCTGTGTCTTCTCAACCGGAGTCCAAGGTGAAGTTCAGACTGGTCAAGCCAAGCATCGAAGCTACGAACGAAGCTACGAACGGAACAAAAGGCATCGCTACGAACGGAGCAAGAAGCCACTAATAGCTCTTGGCCATACTACTAGTAACGAGAAGCTACCGGTAGCAATGTATTTGTGGACTGGTTGTATTCATGCATCGCATTCCCCAACCCCGAGTAACGCCACGCGCAAGGACATTGAAAGAGATTCTCTGGATGCAGCGAAGAGCGCTGCAGGGACATCAGTTCTGTAGGCCTTCAGAGCTTTTCGCATCGGGCAGCTCGGATCATCAATCTGCAAGGAACAACTCTGGCCTGCACGTGTGACTGGGTCAGGTGAAAATTGGTGAGCAACATGGAACGCCTGAAAGGGGCTACCTAGCCGACCTAGCCGTGCCGGCCGTGCCCTGGTCACAACCTAGGAAAAGACTGACCAATCCACATCCCCAACGCTCAGCAAAGGATTGATTTTCGCCAAAAACTTCAGCCTGCACCATCCAGATCGGGCATCAACTGGGGTGGTTGAGTCTGGACCTTTCCGTACGTTTGTGCAAAAGTGCAAGCCCTCCTTGCAAAAGGCCCAAAAGTCAGTAAGACCAAAAGCCCACGGGCGTTATCTGTTGGTTTTGGCCCCAGAGCCTTGAGGAAAGTGAGTGTTTTTTCATGTTGTTTCAGACCAAACATGTTGCCCAACACGCCTATGGGCAGCTGCAGCTGTAGAAGTTCCTGAGCCGCGGTCTTTCGCAGCAAGTACATACCTCAGATGGAGATGCCCCGTTTCGTCCCTTCAATTTCAATCATTGACCCCAACGAAACAAGGAACTGAGAGCCGAAAGCGGGCACTAGGACTAGAAGTCATTCTTAGGCGTATATAGACTCGTCCATCACGTGATGCTCAATTCCTGCTGTCTGGCCTGGCTACTGTACTTCTATATTCCCAAAAACATGCCAAAGCTCAGCAGAGGCCATCGCTATTAGGTTGGAGCCATCGCTAGTAGGTTGGAGGCCATTGCTATTAAGTTGGAGGCCATCGCTATTAGGCTCTCTCTCCCTCCCTCCCTCTCTCTCTCTCTCTCTCCCTCTCTCTTTCTTGCTTGCTTTCCTCCGTCCAGATTCACTCACTTCTGTCCGCCACACCCTCTAGTCCATTCAGGTGGAGTTACCGTAGTTGTATGCTGATCCGCTCACCAAGTTCAGCTTGCTTGACAAACCAGCTTCGAAAACGGCCTAATCGGCCCGGCTCGGTGCGGTGAAGAGGGCGGTGATCCGCTCCAAACACTCCGTGTGCGGCCAACGGTGCTGAGGGTCAGCCAGGACCACCCCAAACATGGAAACCCGGCAACTACCATGCTGATTGAGAGGGCGAGGATAAGTAAAACAGGTTGATAGCACAAGATTAAATGAAGTATGATGAAGCAAAAGAATACGCCGCAAACTGCACATGCATAGTTAAATTGAGTACGTGAGAACACGAGCAGGCTTGTGTGGTTTCCTTCTGACTAAATTCAATCAATATGTTCAAAAGTGGGAGCTCGGACTCCGAAGTTACACCCATTCAAAGGTCTTTGTAGCAGCGGGCAACGATGGTTTCGACCAGCTTCGATCAGCTTCAGCTTCGATCAGCTTCCCCGTCGACGTGTGTCTGGAAGGTATGCGTGCAGCGCTTTTTTTGAAGCCCAACGAACCATGAAACACCCACAAACAGTGATGTGCAAATGTTCTACCGCAGCATCCCTTCTAGGTGAGAATCTAGGAGTGGCTCCTGGATGCTCCTGGGCTTCCATTGAGCTTTAAGAGGGGGACGATCCCCAGCTCCTTCCTAACCCAACGAAGTATATAAGGAAAGACCACTTTGGAGCTCTCTTTTCACATCAGCCATGCTGGTCATGAGACCTCCTTTCTCTCACCGGTCACCAGATCGAAATCAAGCTGAATGATCTCCCAATCTTCTGGGAAGCCGCCTTAGATGCTCAATCAGGTGGACCTGGTGGTTGCCCCGGATTTCCAGGAGCATTGTACAGACTTGGATTTTGAGGCACTGTAAAGAGCCAAGATCTTCACTCACCGAGCAAGCAAGGTGACAACGATTCTGGCAACCTTGAGCGCTGCGTAAGATTTGCACTCTTCACTCTTGGGTTTCATTTAGACCGATCCCAATGTGCACTCTCCAAACTAACCAGTCCCAACCCGGGCCCCAGAAATCGACAAATCGGTTTGCTCGTCAAAGAGGTCTCCCTGAGGACTGGTAAACATGGGCCGACTCCCATTCAACAGATTTCAACAAGGTAGTTGGAAACGTGTCATGGGATTTTCCGTGGGATGCAGACTGCTGGCAAAGCAACTCATGCAGCGCATCAAATCCTTGTCATAGTAATCTCATAGAAGACACAGAATTAAGGTGTTGTGATGTGCTGTGTAAAGTCGTCCATGAACAGCTGCGCTTACATTAGGGCCATTGGGCCATTGAGGGGAATTGTTGTTCAAGAAAGAGCCACCCACAAGGCTTTCTATCCCAAGATGTTGAAGCTTTCGATCCGAGCTGCCGGTGGCCAGCTTACACATGAAGTTCACCAAGTCTGGATGGACTTGACTCAGGTCATCTTCCATCAACAATGCAAAGGGGAAGTCCTGGAAGTCCGAAAGTCTCATGAGTCAATTCTTACTCTTCTGCAAATAACATGAGTCCTCTTCACAGAATGACGGCAAGCACCACACTAAGATGGTGGTTGCAAGTTCATTGAGCTTACACAGATACTGACAGGGGTAGCTGATACGAATATATACATGACAACCAGTTTGCTCTGTAGATTTTGAACTTCATTTCCAACGTTCTTTTCCTTTAAAGCCCGTAGCAGTTGTTCATTGAGCAAAAATGAGCGATTTCCAACCCGGACCGCCAAACATGCGCCACCAAACACGAGTTTCACACCGCCATGTTCCAGAGTCTGTTCAAACAGGAGGAACAGAGTCATACCAGCCTTGTGACCAAGAAAACACGTCCATCTATTTAGAATCCAAATACACCGGTATAAGCCCAGATACCAAGTAGCTCTGAAAAAGATACACCAGACAAGTGGGTAGACCCTTCAGTGGGTGTCGAAACTGCACTTAAAAAATGAGAGAAATGTGTTTTAATTTGATTCTAATTACATTTCATAGTAGCTTCTTGTTACTAGTAGTAAGGCCCTTGTTACTAGTAGCGATGCACTTGTTAACTAGTAGCATGAGAGAAACGGTCTTCGGGGATCCTCAGGGGTCCAGACGTCGGACAGGGAGGGAAACCGCGCACGTGCACGTATGTCATGTGGGCGGTGGAGGCCCCGGTGTGACAGTCTTATGTCGTTTTCTACGAGAGCGTTGGCATGGAATGCCATCTCTCGCGTCTTTCCGAAAACGTGGGACACTAAGGACTCGAATCTCAGGTGACCTCCGCACTAGCTAACCCACTAGTGAATTGGAAACGCCAGTTGGGGCCGCAGGGCAACTGTCACAATTTCAAAAAAGAAGAAAAACACTCCGAACAACACGGTCTGAAGCTTTCGCCCGATTGTTCGGCCAAAAACTCCAGCGAAGCATCCCGGCGGCCCTGCTGCACCCGGTTGTTGCGGTCCTCCTGAGCGATGTGCTCCCACATGACTGCGTGGCCCAAGGCGCAGGCCACGGCGCCAGTGGTCAGGCGGCCACCACGCGTGAAGTCATCGTTCTCGATGGCGCTTTGGAGCACCGGAGGCTGTACTAAACGATCGGAGAGTGGAACCTGCAAGGGTCCAAGGAGCAGTGGAACCTTCCTCCGGGAGTAGCCACTCTGCGAGAAGAAAACAAGAAAAACTGGTGTTGGAATCCAGAATTCTTGGCTTCTTCGTGCTTCCTCCAGGTATATGCAGCCTGTTTGACATTGCGAATTACAAAGGTCGGGGATGACCGAAGGACCATGGGATCATCCTTAGTAAGCCTTAGAAGATAGCTCCAATCCTGAGGCTGTTCAGGAATAGGCCCACGGATGATGTATCGGTTGCTGGTTGCTGAGTGGCTATTAGGAGCCAATCTTCATGACCCCACTCCGATGTTCGACCTTGATGTTCGCTCTTGAAGCACTTCGTCCAACACTCACAGACCAAAAAAAGACGAAAGCGCGATCTACTCTCGATCTCTCCAAGGAACGGTTGACAGGTTCCGACCATCGAAGGCAGAAACCCTGCAGACCTGTAGCCATGGAAGCTCCTTCTCCAGAACTGCCTGGCTGTGCAACTCTGAAAGAGATCGAAATGGGAGGGAGAGTCCGTCCATGTGCAGTTACACTGAGTTCTGGCAGCCAAAAATGGCCAACACAAACAGGTCTCTGCGCCAGAGCCCCAGTTGCAAAATGACCAAGACCAAAAGAAAAAAGGCAAAAGCTGAAAGCGTCATCAGGTCGTTCTGTTGCACACAGATCTGGGCCCTCCCGGCCGATGAGCTCTGCAGGCGATCGACCCGACGCTTCAAGTTCAGCATGAAGACGGGTATCTGTTCGATCTCTGGACAAACCACTTCTCTCCTTCCGAGGTGCACAAGAAACCCGAGCGACCTCCGGTTTCAATCACCAAGCCAACTGGATCTTGTTCACTCCCTCGTTCCCAGCAAGCTTAAATGTCATGGATTCATTGGAACAAAGGGCTCTGGACGTGCAGCTCCGCTGCAGCTCTGGGCCACTTCCATAGCAACAACTGTTCAACAAGCTATTCAAGGTCCTCGTGTGCCTGGCCATCAAAAGTTGATGAGTTGAACCCCGAACAAACGTCGGCTGTATTCAGCTTTGAAGTTCTCTTGAACTACACTGAACTACTATATATATATATGTGTGGATATAGATATAGAGTATGTATGCAAATATATGCTGTAAATACAACAGCGTATGTAGTTTGATCCTAAAGAAGGTTGGCCCCTAGCACTTCCCCCAGGCGCGGCTGGCACGCACGCGCTTCTTGCCAGTGCCAGTGTCCAGCCAAGCTTCTTGGCATGTCGCTGCAGCAGTGCCCGAGAATGAAGCCCAGTGTCAGCTGCGCACGAGGAAGCTGCGCACGAAGCATCTGCTCCAGCTAAGAGAGCCACCAGCGCCAGTGCCCACATGTTGGCCACTGTGGAATATGACGCTGGCAAAGACTTGGCAGCCCTAGCCGCAGCCGCCCCAAAAAGGAAAGAAGGTTCAACCTTGGGAAATCATTCACCTTTGGTGTACGTGTCGCTGGGCCTGACAAATTGCCGCTGAAAAAGGGTCGCCTTCGGGTGACATTCTGGGCTTCGGAGGCGGACGAAGGGAAGTATAGGGCTGAACCCTTATGGACGAGACAGGAAAAGGTCGATGAAAATCTGATAGCGTTTGATGGGCATTCAAAACAGGACAGTAACAAAGCGGTTAATAAAGAGTTTTACAGGCCGTGCCCCAGGTAGTTCTAACTGATCCCGTTCGAGTTCGAGTTCAAGTTCGAGTTCGATGCGCGAGATTGCGTGGATCGAGCGAGAGAGGGGGGTGGACCAGTTCGAGATCGAGTTCGGATCGACACACAATTATCGAGCCGGGGGGGTTGGACCGGTTCGAGTTCGAGTTCGAGTTCGGATCGACACACCACTATCGAGCCGGGGGGGGTGGACCGGTTCGAGTTCGAGTTCGGGTTCGGATCAGCGACTAAGAGACTTATAAGGGGGGGTGGACCAGTTCGAGTTCGGATCCACAACAACAGCAACGAGAACCAACAGCAACGACAACAACCACAACCGCAATCGCCACGACCCACAACACAGAAGAAGAACAGGAACCAACCAAGCTAGCAACAAAGCAATCAACCTGTTGAAAGTATCCGCGCTGCGCAGTCTCATCTTTGCAGCCAACACTTGTTTTATTTGGATCTGGTGTGCTGCTGGGGGGGGGCGCTGCGCCCCCCC